GGGAACTCACACATGCCACTGCAAACATGCAATATCTGCTTACAGCTTATCATGAATTACGTGCTTGTTAGTTTTTTTCAAAAGGAAAATATATCAGATTTTTTAAAACATTCTTTTCAAACAAATGCAAAAAGTTTGTTTGGACGTTGACCATGACCGTGTTAATATTTTCCATCACAGGAACGTTTTATAAAAAAAGAATAACCTCCTGAAAACATTATCCGAATGTTGCTTTGAAAATGTTCTTCTTTTGTTACCATGTAACATTGAGGGAATGTTTTTTTTTAAAAGAACATATGTAATGTGTTACCCCAACAACGTCCAAAACACATCCTTAGAATGTTGCAGGCAAAACATTCCACCTTTGTTAAAGGTGGGGTAGGTAAGTTTGAGAAACCGGCTCGAGATACACTTTTTGTTATATTCCATGGAATGCTCTTAACATCCTGATAGCAATGAATATCTTAAGTGCTTTGACAAAAAAATCCATAAAAAAATGTCATCTGTGGAAGCCGGCCCGGCTAAAATAACTGGATGGCCTACCTGCCTGTCAGCCTTCCATCTGTGCACAAACTTATCTCGTGCCCTCAATGGTCATGTGCGCGTTTGTGTGTGTTGGAGGAGGGGCTCTGTAAGGAAGTGGCAGATTTGTTCCGGCGCATTCTAGCGCACTTGAGCTGGTTTCTCCAAAATTACATACCCCACCTTTAACATATTACATTAAAGGAACATTTTATAAAACACTTTCTGTCATCTCAGGCCTCAATAACATCCTGAAAACATTTTCAGAATGTTTCTTGGAGAATGTTCTTCATTTGTTATCATTTAACATTGAGGGAATGTTTTATTAAGGACATCTTTAATGTGTTACCCCAACAACGTCCAAAACACATCCTTAGAATGTTGCAGGCAAAACGTTCCACCTTTGATAACATATCACATTAAAGGAACGTTTTATAAAAACACTTTCTGTCATCTCAGGCCTCAATAACATCCTCAAAACATCCTCTGAATGTTGCAGTTAAAACGTTATGTCAAAAAACTGCAAATGTATGGAAGTCCAATTAACCTCTATAGCACTGGTATGCTAGCATACTAAACTAAGATTGGGACCATGTGGAATATTTCCAGCTTTTTAGAACTTTTGGGATGCCAGCACAAAAACACATTGAAAAATGTCCACAACAACATGAGCATAATATAACCAAACAATTTCAGGTGAAGGAACTGTATGATCTCACAGAATCAAATGGCTCTAGGGCAGGGGTGGGGAACCTCTGGCCCCCGGGCCGTATACGGCCCGCGAGACCATTTGGTACGGCCCTCGAGGTAATTCATAAACACATGCAAAACAGAAAAAAATTAAGAAATCTCGACCGCAAAAAAATTAAACAAGCGAATGCCTGTTTTTCCTGGGTTAGGTCAGGGTCCTTGACACAACACAAGCCTAACGTGTCATCACGTGGTATATGTCCCGTCTGACAGGGGTACCGTTCTGCAGGAGAGCACCAGAACACCGCTCCGGGCCGGGACTTCACAAATTGCAGTACCCATAAGGAGCCGTACACATGCCGCAGTTTTTGCGTGGCTGTGTCTTTAGTTGAAAGCCCAGTGGCGATCTGTTCATCTGTCATACTGATCATACAGTCAATAACTGTTTGTTGTTATTAGCAATAAGAGAATAAAGTATAAAATACTATATGACAGTTAAAAAAAGTTATTAATAAACAAGAATACAGTTTAAAAGGAGAGTGATTTGAAAAATATCCAAAAATAAATCTGCTTCCAGTTCTGTTTCATATGGGTGTTGAGAGATGTATCCATAGATCTCCTAATGTTGCTCTCAAAGTGCACCAGATTGATGCTTTTAACTTCAACATTTAAAAAAAAATCTTCCCAGGGGAACATGCCCCCTGGACCCCCCTCGAGGAGGTTAGGTCCCCCCCCCCCCACACTTAAATCATGTTCACATGGATAAGAAACTAAATACATTTGCAGACATCTTGTGTCCATATCTTTCTGTTTTGGTGGTCATGCCACACCGTGCACGTGCATGCATGCGCGAGTCATGGTAAGATATCTGGATTAAGAGGTTGCTTTTTCTTTGCACAGCATTGAAAGAAAGGCCAAATGAATGGGCTGTTATTTTAGTATTTTTAAGCAGAGGTCAATAATTTGTACGGCCCTCGGAGGATGTTGAAAAATTGAAATGGCCCTTGAGAGGAAAAAGGTTCCCCACCCCTGCTCTAGGGTCTATGTTCGTCACTGGTGGATGGGCAGACTACCTTCTGAGGAAGCTCAGACGTTGGAGATCTTCTCTCAGTCTGCTGTGGTCAGCGCTCTGTTCTTTGCTGTGGTCTGCTGGGGGGGGGGGGGGGGGGGGGGGGGCAGCATCAGAGTCGGGGACACCAGCAGACTGAATAAACTAATAAAGAAAGCTGGCTCTGTCATCGGCATCAAGCTGGACCCTTTTGAAGCTGTGGTGGAGAGGAGGACACTG